TAGCGTAGTTACATTACAAAAAAGGGGAGAGGGAGAAGAAGAAGAGGAGTATCGGTTTAATTTATATAGCGTAGTTACATTACAAAAAAGGGGGTAGGGAGAAGAAGAGGAGTATCGGGGACATTTAAAAGTACTTTCCAGTTGTTGTTTGACGCTAAGAACAAAGCTACACAATGGGCTACCTGTGCTCTGCCCACCACAGGTATCGAAACCCGGTTTCGGTTTCTAGCTATGTAAGTCCACAGACATATAGCTGTGCCTTTGGTGGGGTAGGCTCATTTGTTGGTAAATAATTCCAAACCAGAAGAAATTATATACATGTGTGTGTGTATGTGTATACAGGGAAAAATGATAGGTTAAACACGACTTTTTTCTATTAAATTAAATATTATATTACTCGGAATGCTGTTTTTTATTGATTTATAGATAGCTGGATGATTTCTATTGTGCTAAAAAGAATGGTTTAATACTGGCCTGTAGTCACAGCGAGTCAAGGCCGATCTATTGTAAGTTTAATTTTATACCTCGTAAGGTTTATACGCAAGAGATATAGATAACTATAGCTCTTTCGCTGCCTTTTGATGGTTCTACTTATTCCCCCGCGTGTCTTTGATGAGTATACTCCATCGTAAGGGGTTCGAAGCTGTTTTGTAGGCCGTATTCGAAGAATTCAATAACATTAATCTAATAAGCTTATGGTGACTTCGCTAGTTCGATTCCCTGTAGGCCTAGATATGTTGTAGAGTTTTGCCCGAAGATATGATATTAACCTTTAAAGTTTATACCACGTACGTGCACCCGTGCGTATCTTTTTATGAGACAAGGTAGCGAAAAACCACATAGTAAAGAATATGTGACCGCCATATCTCCAAAGGAAAGCGCCTAGAAACCTGAAATTTTGCACCCATACTAAGTGGACCCTGAGGGTGTGCACCTGGGTATTATTACTTATTTACGTGCGTGCGCGCCTGTGCATCTTTTTAATGAGGCAAGCTAGCGAAAAACCACATAGAAATGAAGTGTGACAGCCACTCCTTTTATATGTGGTTTTTTGCTAGCACACACATGGATAGGATAAGTAATATCCAGGTGCACACCGTCAGTATGGATGCAAAATTTCAGGTGTATAGGTTCTTTCGCCTTGGTAAGTTCGACTGTAAAACTGGGTCAAGGTGCACCTACTATTACATATCGTAGTTAACATGTTTGGACAAATATTTACATTTACTCTAAACTCTCATGTTTTACCAGCAGTAATGATCATGATATATTTTAGATAGAATAATTCACTCTATTGTGTGAATTTATTAAGCTGACATCATAAAACATTGACTGAAAATTACACACATTAGTATCCACAGTCATTATTAACTATAATTATTTCAATGGCCATTTCTCATTAAATTACTAAACTTTACACATGACCATACATTTACAAGTTTGGTATTGAACGTAATGGTAACGCTGTTTCCAAATAATTTTCCCAAAGAATCAAAATTATATCGTACATTATGTTTGCACTTCGATGCTCATGTTAAGACTCTTTCGAATTCTACATAATCCACTAATCCTTGAACTGTAATATAAAGGTGACTCTTGAGGTAGACTTACTCCAATTTCTAATCCCTCGGGATAGGGAATTTCAAATGGTGGCAGCTGCGAATATTTCCTCACTGATTCTAGAAACTCGTCATAACGATCGTTTGTTGGTGGTTGTTGAGTTACAATCAGGATTGATTGAAACGGCTTGTACTCACTGCGTTTTTCTGCGGGGTCATCCGTAACTGCAAGAAAATACGTACTGTTCAGCCCTCAAACATCAAAACCAGTCTGATAAGGCCACAATAATAACCTAACGTTAACTTGTCGTGACAAATCTTTAATATATGTTCAACATTACCAACAAGTGTTCCACAGTATTATGAAGAAAACAAACATTTTCTCTTATACAAAATTTAAATAAAACGGGCACTTTTATGATACGAATTTTTTTTTGGGGGGGTGCTAGAAAATATCTTCACGGTAATTAAAAAAATTAGTTTGGAACCTGTATGGGAAATAATATAGAATACATCATTAAATTAAGTTATGTAAATATATCTAGCCAGCATAGACAGTTATATTAGTCTTTAAGGCATGCTATTAAATAAATCTCGCCCTTTCAGCCGTGGGGGCGTTATAATGTAACCGTCAATCCCA